AAAAAAAGAAGAATTTCCAAGTAATAAAAAGTATTTGTCCACATCATCTATGTCTAGGACAATGCCGTGCCTTGTTGTTTTTTTTTTATTTATGTGATCAAAAGTCAAATCCATGTAATTAGCAAAATGGTACAAGCTGCTTATTTACCCCTTTTTATTCTAAAAAATTGTGTAGAAAAATAACAGTGAAACAATTTGTAATACACATACCAAAAAAACCGTTATTCCCGCCTACATTTCCAAATAAAACACAGGTGTCCCAAAACCAATATAATAATGCAAGCTACTCTGAATGAGGTTGTAAATATAGAGCCATGTGCTATGACAAGGGATGATTCCACAGGAGAACACTTTTCCCCAGAAGAGCTTTCATCTTTGACAATGTGCTTCAGACAGCTGATGCCAGAGAGGGAATGACCAGCACAGTATACCATCAAGATTATTGCTAGACTTCCTCAACTTGAGCACTACTCCATCAGTTGTCAAACACAACAAAGTCAAAAACATGAAATTCTTCAGTATAAACATACACAAGATACAATAAAAAACCACATACTGAGAAGGTACCAGTAGGACAAAATAAAAACAAGTGAACTTAAAATGCAGCAAAAAAGAAAACATTTTAATGGTCAAAATGAATGAATAGGCCGGGTGCAGTGGCTCACACCTATAATCCTAGCACTTTGGGAAGCCGAAGGGGGTGCAGATCATGAAGTCAGGAGTTCAAGACCAGCCTGGCCAGCATGGTGAAACCCCATCTCTACTAAAAATACAAAAATTAGCCAGGCACGGTGGAGAGTGCCTGTAGTCCCAGCTACTCCGGAGACTGAATCCAGGAGGCAGAGGTTGCAGTCAGCCGAGATCACACCACTATACTACAGCCTGGGCGAGCACGGTGGCTCACACTTGTAATCCCAGCACTTTGGGAGGCTGAGGCAAGTGGATCACCTGAGGTCAGGAGTTTGAGACCAGCCTGATCAATGTATTATAACACCATGTCTACTAAAAATACAAAATTAGCTGGGCATGGTGGCACATACCTGTAATCCTAGATACTTGGGAGGCAAAGGCAGGAGAATCGCCTGAACCCAAGAGGCAGAGGCTGCAGTAAGCCAAGATTCCACCATTGCACTCCAGTCTGGGTGACAGAGCAAGACGCCGTCTCGAAAAAAAAAAAAAGTTCAGCTAGGCACAGTGGCTCACATCTTGCTCTGGGTGACAAAGCAAGACGCCGTCTCAGAGAGATCCAAGATGGCTGATCACTAGCAGCTCGAGATTGTAGCTCCCACTGAAAACGCAAAGAACGAGAGGACGCCACACCTTCACATGAATTCTTGTTGCTCACGCACCAGGAGATTCCCAGCGGAGGAACCCCACGGGTCGCTAGCGCGACTCTTGTGACTGGCGAGGCGGTTTTGCCGGCGCCTCGGAGCGTCAGTTCTTGGTGCAGAGTCAGAAAGGCACCATCCATCTTAACACCGCTGATTTGGTCGGCGCAGTGGGTTGCTCAGATTTCGGCGCTGAGAATCAATAAGTTGGACGTCCACTCAGAAACTCAATTACAAAGACGGTAATTATAAAGACTACAGATGGATAAATCTACAACGAAGGGAAGAAAACAGCCAAAAAAGGCTGAGAATACCCAAGATCAGAACGCCTCTCCCTCACCAGGGGATCCCAGTTCCTCATCAGCAACGAAACAAGGCTTGATGGAGAACGAGTGTGTTCCAATTACAGAAGCAGGCTTCAAAACGTGGATAATAAGAAACTCCTGTGAATTAAAAGAACTTATGCTAACACAATCTAAAGAAACTAAGAACTTTGAAAAAAAGTTTGACGAAATGTCAACAAGAATACAAAATTTAGAGAGGAAAATAAGTGAACTGATGGAGCTGAAAAACACAATACGAAAACTACGTGAAGTATGCACAAGTTTTAACAGCCGAATTGATCAAGCAGAAGAAAGGATATCAGAGGTCGAAAACCAACTCAATGAAATAAAACAAGAAGACAAGATTAGAGAAAAAAGGATAAAAAGGAATGAGTAAAGTCTCCAAGAAATATGGGACTATGTGAAAAGACCTAATCTACGCTTGATAGGTGTACCTGAATGTGACGAAGAGAATGAATCCAAGCTGGAAAATATGCTTCAGGATATTATTCAGGAAAATTTTCCCAACTTAGTAAGGCAGGATAATATTCAGCTCCAGGTAATACAGAGAACACCACAAAGATATTCCTCAAGAAGAGCAACTCCAAGGCACATAATCGTCAGATTCACCAGGGTTGAAATGAAGGAGAAAATACTAAGGGCAGCCAGAGAGAAAGGTCAGGTTACCCACAAAGGGAAGCCTATCAGACTCACAGCAGATCTCTCAGCAGAAACCCTACAAGCCAGAAGAGAGCGGGGACCAATATTCAACATCCTTAAAGAAAAGAACTTTCAACCAAGAATTTTACATCCAGCCAAACTAAGCTTCATAAGTGAAGGAAAAATAAAGTTTTTTGCGAACAAGCAAGCACTCAGAGAATTCATCACCACCAGGCCTGCTTTACAAGAGCTTCTGAAAGAACCACTACACATAGAAAGGAACAAACAGTATCAGCCTTTCTAAAAAATACCAAAAAGTAAAAAACATCAATATAATGAAGAATTTACATCAACTAATGGGCAAAATAACCAGCTAATATTTTTTTTTTTTTTTTTTGAGGCGGAGTTTCGCTCTTGTTACCCAGGCTGGAGTGCAATGGCGCGATCTCGGCTCACCGCAACCTCCGCCTCCTGGGTTCAGGCAATTCTCCTGCCTCAGCCTCCTGAGGAGCTGGGATTACAGGCACGTGCCACCATGCCCAGCTAATTTTTTGTATTTTTAGTAGAGACGGGGTTTCACCATGTTGACCAGGATGGTCTCGATCTCTCGACCTCGTGATCCACCCGCCTCGGCCTCCCAAAGTGCTGGGATTACAGGCTTGAGCCACCGCGCCCGGCTTAATAACCAGCTAATATTAAATGACAGTATTAAACTCACATATATCATTATCAATTCTAAATTTAAATTGACTAAATTCCTCAATTCAAAGACAGGCAATTTGGACAAAAAACTAAAACTGTATGCTGCATCCAGACCCATCTCACATTCAAGGATACACAAAGACTCAAAACAAAGGATGGAGAGAGACTTACCAACCAACCAGAGAGCAAAAATAAATAAATAAAAAGCAGAAGTTACAATTTTTGCCTCTGATAAAATAGTATTTAAAGCAACAAAGATCAAAAGAAGCAAAGAAGGACATTATATAATGATAAAGGAATCAATGCAACAACAAGAAGAGTTAAAGGTCCTAAATATACACGCACCCAATACAGGAATACCCAGACATACAAGACTTATAAAGAGACTTAGACTCCCACGCAATAATAGTGGGAGACTTCAACATTAATATTAGACAGATCAATGAGACAGAAAATTAACAACGATATCCAGGACTTGAACTCAGATCTGGAACAAGTAAACGTAATTAACATTTATAGAACTCTCCACTTTACACAAAATATACACTCTTATCAGTACCACATCATATCAACTTAGAAGTTTAAACGAAATGTTGGTTGGCTGCTTGTTTGTTACTCTCTTCCCTCATTTTCTTTCATGTCTCCATTATTAAGGACAATTATAGGCATACCCATATTTAGACTGCATTCTAGCCCGGGCAGCAAAGCAATACCCCCATTCTCTCTCCCTCTTCCTCTTTCTCTTTCTTCCTCTTCTTTATTCTTTTTCTTATTATTCTTTTTCTCAAAAAACAAAAAAAATAAGCTAATTGGTGCCAGTTTGTTTATGCAACACCTATTTATTGAACCTCAGCTGTGTGCCAAGCAGTGAGTTAGATACAGAGGGATCATGCAATCAGTAAAACAGATAGGATCTCTCTTCTCCTGGAGCTTAGAGTCGAACATAGGTGACAGACATTGCAAAAATGACCACACTAATAAATGTAAGATGTCAGCTGTGGCATGATGCCGTGAGAATGGCAAGGTGAGGATTAAAAAAAAAAAAAAAAAAAAAAGACGCCGTCTCAAAAAAAAAAAAAAAAAAACAGTTCGGCTAGGTACAGTGGCTAAAATCTTGCTCTGGGTGACAGAGCAAGGCGCTGTCTCAAAAAAAAAAAAACAGGCTGGGCGCAGTGGCTCAAGCCTGTAATCCCAGCACTTTGGGAGGCCGAGGCAGGTGGATCCCAAGGTCAAGAGATCGAGACCATCCTGGTCAACATGGTGAAACCCCGTCTCTACTAAAAATACAAAAAATCTGCTGGGCATGGTGGCACGTGCCTGTAATCCCAGCTACTCAGGAGGCTGAGGCAGGAGAATTGCCTGAACCCAGGAGGCAGAGGTTGCGGTGAGCCGAGATCATGCCATTGCACTCCAGCCTGGGTAACAAGAGTGAAACTCCGTCTCAACAAAAAAAAAAAAACAAAAAAAAAAACAACAGTTTGGCTAGGTACACTGGCTCAAATCTTGCTCTGGGTGACAGAGCAAGACACTGTCTCAAAAAAAAAAAAAAAAAAAGTTTAGCTAGGCACAGTGGCTCGGCTAGCACTTTGGGAGGCCAAGGCAGGTGGATCACTAAGTCAGGAGTTCAAGACCAGCCTGGCCAACATGGTGAAACCCGTCTCTACTAAAAATACAAAAATTAGCCAGCCGTGGTGGTGGAAGCCTGTAATCCCAGCTACTCAGAAGGCTGAGGCCCGAACCTGGGAAGCAGAGGTTGCATTGAGCCAAGATTGTGCCACTGCACTCCAGCCCGGGAAACAAGAGTAAGCCCCCATCTCAAAAAAAAATTTTTTTTAAGTTCACTGCTGACCCTTACAAACACAGCAGTTCCAATTCCATACCAAATCAATATACCCTTTCAGAAATACTATTCTATAAAAGCACTCAGATACAGCTATGGCAAAATGGTATTGGCGAGAATGTAACCTAGAAACCTTTTATACCTTACCTCCTTCTTCCTTGACTACTTCACTAGGCTCTCCTGAAAAAGGCTCCTTTAGGATAGGATGATCACGTCTGTCTTCTTGGGTAACTGGCCCGGGCCGGAGTGTAATTTTCTTCCCTCTCTTTGAGCCAGTAGCCTGGAGTTTTCCTTTACCAATGCGTATATTAAGAGGGTGAAAAGACTCCAACGAAGGTAGCGTAATTCCCTGAGAGATGGCCACATCAACACCTTCTAGAATAGGTACACTTGTGTCCTGGGTGAGCATCCCAGAGCTCAGAGATGTATCTTCCATACCAAGCTGATTTCCTGCATCCTGCACAGATTGTACTTCAAAGCCAGCTACTCGGCCATGACCTGGATCCCAGGACAGTGACACTGACCTCAAGTCCTTTACCTGGTCAGATTCTGGTTGAACAGCTGATTCTAGGCCTACACTGTTTTCCTCCTGATCGCCTTTATGCTGTAAGGACTCTGTCACTGCAGTTCGTCTCTTCTTACAGGGCAACATTTTAAAAGTCCCACTTTTGTTCCATTCTGAAAGGAAAAAAACAAGTTCTTACTGCTTTCATATCAATTAATGGTAATAACATTTACTCAATTATCTTTTCATTTACTCATGTTCAATCATGAATACAATACTTCACACCAAATGCACAATTTCCCTTTAGGTGGAAGATGAGAGACAGTGGTTAGAGTGACTGAGTTCAAATCTCACTGATTACTACTGATGGACTGTTACACCTTCCCCAAGTGATTTAACCTTGCAAGTCTTCAGTATCCTCAACAGTAAAAAATAATTGCTCTTACTTCACAGAATTGTTATAAGAAAGAGTAAGTGATTAATAAATGTTATTATTATTACCATCAGGGTGGTAGACTAGCATGATGCTGAGAATAAACTGTGGAGTCAGACTGTCTGGATGTTTCCCAAATCAGCTTCTCTCCAGCTTTATGACCTTGCATAAGTTACTCAACATGAACCTCAGATTCTTCAGCTATAAAATGGGATATAATAGCATCTACTTCATTAGATGGTAAATGATCAATAAATGTTTGCTACTGTTGTTTTCATAAACAGGTTATTTCCATTAATAGAAACAAATCAAAAGCAAAGTGTGATTTTTTTTTTTTTTTTTTTTTTTTTAGAGAGAGTTTTGCTCGTTACCCAGGCTGGAGTACAATGGCGCGATCTCGGCTCACCGCAACCTCTGCCTCCTGGCTTCAAGCAATTCTCCTGCCTCAGCCTCCTGAGTAGCTGGGATTACAGGCACGTGCCACCATGCCCAGCTAATTCTTTGTATTTTTAGTAGAGACGGGGTTTCACTATGTTGACCCGGATGGTCTCAATCTCTTGACCTCGTGATCCACCCGTCTTGACCTCCCAAAGTGCTGGGATTACAGGCCTGAGCCACCGCGCCCGGCCCACGATTCTTTTTTTTTTTTAAAGACGGGGTTTCACCATGTTGGTCAGGCTGGTCTTGAACTCCCGACCTCAGGTGATACTCCCGCCTTGGCCTCCAAAGTGCTTGGATTACAGGCATGAGCCACCATGCCACGCTGACAAAGTGTCATTGTTTAAAAGATTAGGCTATGTTGGCCGGGCGCAGTGGCTCACGCCTGTAATCCCAGCATTTTGGGAGGCCAAGGCAGGTGGATTACTTGAGGTCAGGAGTTCTAGATCAGCCTGGCCAGCACAGTGAAACTCCATTTCTACAAAAAAATTAGCTAGGCATGGTGGCAGGCGCCTATAATCCCAGCTACTCAGGAGGCTGAGGCAGGAGAACTGCTTGAACCCAGGAGGCAGAGGTTGCATTAAGCCAAGATTGTGCCACTGCACTCCACTCTGGGTGACAGAGCAAGACCCCAGCTCAAAAACAAAACAAAACAAAACAAAAAAAGAAGGCTCTATTAACAAATTTTGTGTTGAAACAAGGAAGAGGAGATTCCTATTATCCTCTGTGCTATGTTACTTCTTGACTTTTTGCTTCAATTCTAATTACCACATTTTAAGGGCATTATGATCTAAACCAGAGGGTATCCTCTATGTTCTTTCTTTCTTTCTTTCTTTTTTTTTTGAGACAGAGTTTCGCTCTTGTTACCCAGGCTGGAGTGCAATGGCGCGATCTCGGCTCACCGCAACCTCCGCCTCCTGGGTTCAGGCAATTCTCCTGCCTCAGCCTTCTGAGTAGCTCGGATTACAGGCACGTGCCGCCATGCCCAGCTAATTTTTTGTATTTTTAGTAGAGACGGGGTTTCACCATGTTGACCAGGATGGTCTCGATCTCTTGACCTCGTGATCCACCCGCCTCGGCCTCCCAAAGTGCTGGGATTACAGGCTTGAGCCACCGCGCCCGGCTCCTCTATGTTCTTTTAGTACCTGTTTGCAAATCTCTTTTACAGTACTTATCAGTTTTATAATAGTCTCTTCTCTTTTTCATTTCCCTCCTCCAAAACTATGAGCTTTTTGAGAAACAGGATTATCTCAACTAATATCCCTAATATCCATGGGGTTTTTTTTGTTTTTGTTTGTTTGTTTGTTTGTTTTCAGACAGGGGCTTGCTCTGTCACCCAAGCTGCATTGCAGTGACATGAACACAGTTTGCTGCAGCCTTGACCTCCTGGACTGAAGCAATGGTCTTACCTCAGCCTCCCAAGTCACTGGGATTATGGTCCCATCCAAGCCACTGCGCCAGTTCAGTATCTGGGTATTGCAGATACTCAGTGTATCATTGAGTACTGCAGATACTCAGTGAATGTTCCCTGAATAACAAATGAAACAGAGCTTAAACAGCTTATTCTGTGCAGCCTTTGGGCCAAGTGTTAAGCATTATATAAAAACTGAGGCCGGGCGGGGTGGCTCAAGCCTGTAATCCCAGTACTTTGGGAGGCCGAGGCGGGTGGATCACGAGGTCGAGAGATTGAGACCATCCTGGTCAACATGGTGAAACCCCGTCTCCACTAAAAATACAAAAAACTAGCTGGGCGTGGTGGCGCGTGCCTGTAATCCCAGCGACTTAGGAGGCTGGGACAGGAGAATTGCCTGAGCCCAGGAGGCGGAGGTTGCGGTGAGCCGAGATCGCGCCACTGCACTCCAGCCTGAGTAACAAGAGCGAAACTCCGTCTCAAAAAAAATAAAAAAAAAAACTGATGGCATTTTATCACCCAGGAAAACTTTACTGTCATAAATAGATCCAATAATACAATAAGCTACCTTGCGTTGTATCACTGGCAATGTTCAAGCAAAGCCTGAATGTCCACTTACCAGGGTACTAGATGAAAGCTTCAACTAGAGAACTGAAAAGTTCTTTGTAACTCTTAAGTCTAAGGTTAGATTGATTGATTGATTGATTGACTGATTTTCAGAGACAACGTCTCGCTCTGTTGCCCAGATTGGAGTGCACTGGCAAGACCCTGGTTCATTCACTACAGCCTCAGATTCCTGGGCACAAGTGACCCTCCAGCCTCGGCCTCCCAAGTAACTGGGACTACAGGCGCTCGCCACTACTCTCGGCAATTTTTGTTGTTTTTGTTTGCAGAGATAAGGGTCTCAATTTATTACCCAGGCTGTTCTCGAACTCCTGGACTCAACCAATCCTCCTGTCTCAGCCTCCCAAAGTGCTAGGCTTATAGGTGTGAGCTACCGCGACCGACCTATAAAGTTACTTTTAAACCTCCTTTCAGTTTCTTCAAGACATTAGAGGAGACTCCCCATCCCCTCAACCAATTGATGTCCTTAGTAATTAAAGCTCAATAACACGTGAAGATTTTGTTGATTCCTGTGAGATGGTGGTGACTGGATGAGAAACAGAATGGGAGTAGCCTAGGCAACGCTTTTATTTCACAAATAATTACTGAGGTACAAAAAACAAAATGAAGGAAAAAAAGCTACTTCAGCTCCAGGCACCTCCAACACAGCAGTAGCTCTGTAGCCCACTTTTTGGGGAACCCAAGTCGGACCAACAGGGTGAATGAATGCCAATGGGGAGGCAGCCGCGGCACGGCCCTCTCCTAGGAAAACATTTTCAAAAGGGTCCTAACCGCGCTTCCACCTCGGCGCCCAGGGCTGGCCCCAGTCCCCATTCCCAACTAGACACCTTCACGCCCTTAACTTCCGCCACGCACCCAGCACTCACCCCCAGACCCGTCCCTCTCATCCTGGTCATCGTTCGCCCAGGTGTCCCAGCTCCCATCTGCCTCTTCCCGCCCCAACGCACACAAACCTGCACCCTCACCAGCCAGCCTGATTCCGCGGAAACGGCTTTGGCATCACCGGAAGTCAGCCAACGGCGACGAGTTGCGTGCGCGTTCCCGAGCCTCGGAGCGTCGCGCCGCAGGGCATCAAGGAGCATGCGCCAAACACTAGGCGCCATCCCATTTTAGGGCACAGTGAAGCCCAAGCGCTAGTGCGTCAGTTATTGGCATAAAAATTTAAAGGCACTACTTGGCTTTCTCCGCCCGTGGAGTTAGTTACCCTACTCAAAACTGGATTGAGAGTCAATGGTTTAGATTAACAACTAATCTGGGTGCCGGGCGCGGTGGCTCACGGCTGTAATCCCAGTACATTGGGGGACCGAGGCGGGCGGATCACCTGAGGTCGGGAGTTCGAGATCAGCATGGTGAAATCCCGTCTCTCTACTAAGCACACAAAATCAGCTTGCGTTGGGGTGGCGGGTGCCTGTAATCCCAGCTACTCGGGAGGCTGAGGTAGGAGAATCGCTTGAACCCGGGAGGCGGAGGTTGTAGTGAGTGGGGATCACGCCACTGCACTCCAGCCTGGGCGACAGAGTGAGACCCCGTCTCCAAAAAATGAATAAAAATAAATTCATAACTAATTTTTCTCACCACGAGGCATCTGAGACACAGGACCAAGGGACTGAAGAAGTCATAAAATGTCAGAAAAAGAAGTTTCCACAAATAGTGCAAGCTCCTGATTAAAACTAAGGCAGTCTTGGACTCAGATTATGGTAATTATTCAAATATGCACAATATTCTGCATTTTACAAAATGCTCTCACATTCTTTTAGGTGACTTGGTCTCCACAATCAACTGTGAGATTATTATATCATATTCCAGTTTGCACAGGACAAAGTTCTGGTTTAGCTGAGTAGGTGATTTCACAACAGTACACAGACAGCTATTAAGGAGAATCAGGTATTAAGTATCCTAACTCTAGCTAATAATTCATTGACCCAGTGCCCAGGAGGCTATCTGGGGTGTAACAGATGTTCAATAATTCAATACATGCTTTTTGAATGAGTGAATGGAATGAATGAATGACTCCTAAAATGATGTCGTTTCCACTTTTCTAGAAAATCAGAATGTCTGTGGAATCCACGGGGATTAAAGAAAAAGAAAAAGAAAAAAAAAAAAAAAAAAAAAAAAAAACAGAATGTCATACTTACCTGGCAGGGGAGATACCATGATCACGAAGGTGGTTTTCCCAGGACCAGGCTTATCCATTGCACTCCGGATGTGCTGACCTCTGCGATTTCCTCAAACGTGGGAAATTCGACTGCATAATTTGTGGCAGTGAGGGACTGCGTTCCCTCTCTTCCCTGGTGAAAAAAAAAAAAAGAAAAAGAAAAAGAAAAAAAGAAAGAAAAAAAAAACCCAGAATGTCAAAAGCTGGAAAAACGCTTTCAACTCTCTCATTTTACAGGTAAACCACCAACAAAAATTTATACATTTGAACTAATCCTATGTGTAAACAGAATCTGACAGGATGAAATTATCCCCAGCCAAAATGAAGGTTGAAATTTATGCCAACATGGCTATAATCAGCCGTAGTCTGACTGTAACCTGAATCACACAAACTCTCCCAAATACCAAGGAAGACTCCGGAAGCTCGGAGTTTCATGTGTGTTGTCCTTTGACCTACAGAATGCACAGATCTTTTGGTTGGTTTGGCCTGTCTCTCTCTCTCTCTCATATGAAACTCTAAGCACTTGAGGTTCGTGGAAAAAAATTCAACACTGACTAACTTTGGCACTTTTCATTAGTCTTTTTTAAAAACAGCTTATTGGCCGGGTGCGGTGGCTCACGCCTGTAATCCCAGCACTTTGGGAGGTCAAGGTGGGCGGATTATGAGGCCAGGAATTCAAGATCAGCCTGGCCAATATAGTGAAACCTGTTTCTACTGAAAATACAAAAAAAAAAAAAATTAACTGGGCTTGGTGGTGGGCACCTGTAATTCCAGCTACTCGGGAGACTGAGGCAGAAAAATGCTTGAACCCAGGAGACAGAGTTGCAGTGAGCCCAGACAGAGCCACTGCACTCCAGCCTGGGCAACAGAGCGAGACTCTGTCTCAAAAATATAAAATATAATATAATAAAAACAACTTATTTTACATACCACAAAATCCATCTTTTTATTTTTTTACTTTTTTTTTTACTCCAGGCATCACTACTGATGAGCACAAAATCCATCTGTTTTATGTGTACAATTAAATGACTTTTTTTTTTTTTTTTTTAAGACAAGAGTCTTGTTCTGTTGCGAGGCTTGAGTACAGCGGTGTGATCTGGGCTCACTGCAACCTCCACCTACTGGGCTCAAGCAATCCTCGTGTCTCGGACTCCCGAGTAGCTGGGATTATAGGCATGCACCACCACGCCTGGCTAATTTTTGTAATTTTAGTAGAGTCGGGGTTTCACCACGTTGGCCAGGCTGGCCTCGAACTCTTTATCTTAGGTGATCCGCCCAACTCAGCGGCCTCCCAAAGGGTTGGGATTACAGGTGTGAGCCACGATGCCCAGCTGATTTTTTCTTTTCTTTCTTTCTTTTTTTTTTTTTTTTTTTTTTTTTTTTTTTTTTTTTTTTTGGCATTGTCTTACTCTGTTGTCTAGGCTGGAGCAGAGCGAGACGATCTCCACTCACTGCAACCCCTGCCTCCTGTGTTCAAGCGATTCTTCTGCCTCAGCCTCCCGAGTAGCTGGGACTACAGGCGTGCGCCACCATGCCCGGCTAATTTTGTATTTTTTAGTAGAAACGGGGTTTCACCACATTGGGCAAGATGGTTTCGAACTCCTGACCTCGTGATCCGCCCATCTCAGCCTCCCAAAGTGCTGGGATTACAAACGTGAGCCACCAAGCCTGAATGATTTTTTAAAGTTAGTAGATTTTCAGAGTTGTGAAACCATTCCCAGGTTTGGTCTTTCATCAGAGTTTTTGAGGTTTAAGACAATTTTCATCCACTGTGAAACAGCCTAATAAAAAAAGTTCGCCGGGCGCGGTGGCTCACGCCTGTAATCCCAACACTTAAGGAGTTGAAGGCGGGCAGATCACAAGTTCAGGAGTTCAAGACCAGCCTGACCAACATGATGAAACCCGTCTCTCCTGAGAATACAAAAATTAGCCGGGCGTGGTGGCACGTGCCTGTAATCCCAGCTACTCAAGAGGCTGAAGAGGAGAATTGCTTGAACCCGGGAGGCAGAGGTTGCAGTGAGCCGAGATCGCGCCACTGCACTTCAGCCTGGGCGACAGACAGCGAGACTCCATCTCAAAAAGAAAGAAAGTTCCGTAATAACCTTTAGCAGTCTCAGAAATGCATAATGATGGCAATCCATACTGAAATCCAGGCAGTACATAATTTTATCTTCCCAAAATTCTGGAACTCAGAACCGAGAACATTCTACTGCTGTATTAAAGCCCAGGAAACCGAAATCAGAGGATTTCACATAATAATCCGCCTACGCTTCTTACTCCTCGGTACTTTCTCGTTCTAGAACCACAGCCCGTCAGTGGGCGGGGCCTTATTGTCGGGAAAACTCGGCGGTGGGAGGAGTCCCTCCCAGATAGCTTCCGGAAGTGGGCGGGGCCTGACTTCCGGAACCTTTCGGACAGAGGCGGAGTCTTGTTCCGAGGACCATTCGGAAGAAGGCGGAGCCTACCTCGCATCAGGACCAGTCTGACTGCACCTGCATCCTAAGCTCAGAGCATCCCCGGAGGATCTTAAGAGCAGAGCGCAGCTGACAACCAGGGGCCGGACCGTCGCAGGAGGCGTCCGCTGGATACCTTCCCCTTTCCCTGACCTAGAGTTCTACAGCTGCGGCCTTAGTACTGATCGAGG